AGCCCCGCCCGGCCGCCTAGCGCCCGCCCAGCCGCCTAGCCGTCCGCCTAGCCCCATTTTTTGAACACTGCGATTGACTGGAAGTCTGAAACCCGAAATTGAAAAAGTTGACCTGCAAATTTGAGCTTGAGATTGAGATTTGGAAGCCGAAGCAAGCACAAGTCATGGGAACCCTAAATACAAAATTTGCTGACTTGGGGATTATTTCCTGTCCAGTGAGTTTTGCTACCATAATTGGAATTTTTTTCAGGAGTATAGCCGATCGGTGATTCTGAATTTATGTGCTTTTTCCTTTTCTATTTTGATGGTGATGCTATTTATTGAGTTCATTAGGACGAAGGTAGATACCCTTGTTATTTCTATTTCATACTGAGTTGATGGTGACGCTATTTGATGTTTAACTCAAGTAAATATGCATTTCATGAACCCTCATAGGGTTCCTCCTGCTTGTGGATTGCCACTAATAATGGATACCATCCGATTTCTTATACATAGTTGCAGATCAGATCATCTCTCCTGATTATCTTTAATTTTTGTTAGAGCCACTGCCTTTTCTTCTTTGTCAAAGAGAGATTGGTGAGTTTTGGCTCGAGTGACAAGGTTGAAATGTGATCAAGATCATCTAGACTCAATCCCGACTCATCATAATTGTGTGATAATCCTGTCAATATATTCATACAAAAAAGTGGCTCTTGATGAGTGGTGGCAAAGCGAAATAAAAGTTGCACTCCATCCTTGACAGAGTTTAGGGTATGGAACTTTGATTTTAAGTGCACTCCATTCTTGACAGAGTTGATATGTTAGGATATTGAGCTTAGATTTTAAGTTTTACTTCTCAAGTTTCTGGCCATGTTCCCAACAATTCACTCTCTCTTTTATGTACACAAATCTATTGAGGATTTGGGTCTAAGGGTATTCTGATAATTTGTTTTCCTCTGTGTGCAGTCTCGCAAACGTTGATCCTATTGATGTTGCCAGAAATATTGCAGGGTTAAATCCAGAAACTACCCTCGGTAAGCATTAAGTTTATTTATATCACTAAATATTGACTCCTGTAATCTAAGCTCTATATGGGGTTTCTTATCGTTCATTCATATTCTTTCGATATTTGCAGTTGTGGTAGTTTTTTGAAGACCTTTACAATAGCAATACCTTTAAATATATTATTTAAGGAGTACCGCTGATTGGCTATACCTTTAAAATATATTACTTAACGAGTACCGCCGCACGGCCACACCGTTTAAATATATTATTTCAGGAGTATAGCCGATCGGCTATACTCTTTGAATATATTTGAAACAAACACGAAGATTG